TCTATCTATCTATCTATCTATCTATCTATCTATCTATCTATCTATCTATCTATCATCTATTTATGTATGTATCAATGATCTATATCTATTAATTATCAATCAATCAATCAACCAATCACCTATCTCTCTTTATTTAAGTTTTGTGAGACACTGTGTAGCTATGGCTGGCCTGGAACATGTTATTCAGATTGGACTGACTACAGACTCATAGTGATCCTCCTGGTTCTGCCTTCTCAGTGCTGAGATTAGAGGTGTGTGGCACCACATCTGGCGCAAATATTTTTTTTATTTTTAAGAGATAAGTGACATAAGACGTGCCGGCTATTCTGCTATTCTATAATTAAAGATGAAAATTTATAGCTGGAATCAAGGTTTATCTAGATTCAACAGGAATTTCTGTATATAAAAAGTATATATTACAAATGACATAAATACAATAAATATACATATATATATATGTATATATATATATATATATATATATGACCATACACATAGGCACAAAGCTTTTAGTTCAACTACATAGTTGATATACTAGGCAACGACAGAAAAATCTTCTGAAATATACTGTTAACCTGGCATGAAATGCAGAGATATTCAATTTCTAAAGAAAGTCTGCTTGGGGACGCAGAGGAGGGTGAGATCTGAGAGGCTCTCCAAAATCCTGCAGCCCCTGAACATCTGACCTGATGACTTTCTGCAGTATGGGGGAGTCCTTGGGGAGCCCCACAGAAAGCTGGAATACATCAAAGTGCTTAAATATGAAAGGTTAGGGAAAAAAACCTAAGGAACTATATAAAGGACAGCTGCAGGAACGCTTGCTTACCTCAACCGTGGAAGGCTGAGGGAGGCTCTGGGTAGACTGCAGGAAGAATTCCATTTGATTATTTCTAAACACAAGCATATCCCTGCAGGGCCTTGCCACCAGTACTCTCAGGGTGAGTACTGAGACCTAGAAGGTGGGATGTTAATGTCAATTATTTTGGTTGAGCGATGACTCCAGATAAGTGGCAGAAGCAAACACAGACCATCTGTGAAGGGATGCGTAATAAAGCCAGGTTGAAAATAATTCCTGCAGGAACAGAGAGCTAAGCCAGACCCTCTAAGACAGTGTGATGGTCATAGACTACAAACCAGACATGTTTAGCATCTTTTCTATGGATATCAAAACAAGGAAGAAGAAGAAACTGTAAGGAATGACCATGGACATTTGAAAACCTAGAACAGAACTTTCAGAAATTTAAATGTAATGCTGTAAATGAAAATTCGCATGAAAAAGGACATATTGACAGTAGCTCTTAAAAATTTAGTCACATTCATCCTGATGCTCTTGGTTTGATCCCAAGGCACACACACATAAAAAGGGTGTGATGGTACATGCCTGTAATCACAGCATTTGAGAGGTGGAGGCAGAAGTTTGGGGAATTCAGAACTATGTGAGATGCTGTCTCAAAAAATATTGAAAATAACAAGAACAAAAATCTTTGCTCGGTCCTTGAGATGATTCAGCGAGTAAAGGCACCTTTTTGATTCCAAGCCTGAGGACCTGAGTTCAGTCCCTGGGACCACATGGTAAGAGGAGACTATCAACTCCCATAAATTTTCTCTGACCTCTGTCTGCCCACTATGGCCCACACAAGCGTGTTCACACATATATACACACAATAAAATCAATTAAAGTTATAAAAAAATATTGTCGAGAGAGGAGGAATTGATTAACGAGATTTGTGGCACATTACTGTAATCAGCACTTGTAAGGGTAGAGGCAGGGACATCAGGTGTTCGAAGGCTAGCCTTGGATACATGGTGCATATGAGGCTAGCCTGGACTTTGTGAATCTTGTCTCAAAAAACACCCTCTCCCCCAAAAAATTATTCACTACCTTTGGGCATGAATTCCATTCAAGTGTATTCTTTGTATGTGTGTGTTGTGTAGGTAGGACTAAAGTGATGTGTCTGTTATTTAGCTTGGAGTCAATTGGAAGTAAAATACACTTAAATTTTATATGCAAAACAAAGAGATGATGGGGAAGAAAGGCCATGGTAAATGAGAAAATATAACAATTGGTGAGCTGTTCAAGGCAGCTCCACTAGTTCATATACAAAGAAACATAAGATTCTGCAGAGACCACACCTAACTCCCATGCATATCAGATGAAAATCACAATGACTTTTAACTATGTCTATCATCTATGACTTACTGTGCCCTTCAATAAAAGGCAAGTATTTAAGTAAATCAGCAAGCTACGTTTTTATCATTTTGGTTATTTGTTTAGAAAGTTGAATCAATGATTTGGGAGGTAAAATTGTTATTAAAATCATGGGTTAATATCATTTTTAAGATTGTGTAGAGATTTCAATTAAACAGATTTTAAAATATTATTTTCCAAATATGTAGAAATCAAACCTGCTGAATCAGCTGCTCAACACAGATAATTTTGCCCAGAGCAATTAATCGATTCATATTAAATTGTTAATGTGATTTGAAATTAGGAGCTATTTGGGTTGTCATGATAAGAAATTATTATTTTTTTATTCTGGGGCGGGGATGGGCACATGCAATGGGGTACGTATGGAGGCAAGAGAGCAGCTTGTTAGAGTCAGTTTTTTCCTTTTACCATGTAAGGCCCAGGCATTGAACTCAGGTCATCAGCCTTGGCTGCAAGTGCCTTTACTCACTGAGCTATCCCTGCAATCTATGATAAGCAGTATTGATGTCTATTATGTGTCTATTGATTGCTAAGGGATCCTATTGCAAATAACAAGAAATCTCCCTAGGATTCATTTCAAATGTGGTCATGTAGGTATTGCTCTTGCTTGGCGATCTGTCTAGAAGTTTCCAGTTCATTCCATTATCAGATGCTAGCCATATTGGTCATTTGAACAATGTGAGTATTTGTCTTATTAAATGAGACCAATCCTGACCACTAAGCAGGATACAATAAGGATTAAACTGTGGAAGGTATAATTGTAATCATCAAGAGGCTCCAGTAAGGGCAAAGTGGGCAAATACTACTTACATTCAAGGTAGACATAGCATGCTTGTGTAAAGCTAATCTAAGTCACATGCTTTTCAAAATTGTCTTTATTTTCCACTCTAGTTTGGTGGGATGTGGGAGACCTGGTCCTTCCATTACTCCAGGCCTTGATTAAGAAAGAAGCTGAGATTAAGACAGGAATGCCTCTCTGTAATTTCCTGTCCCTTTCTCTTCATGCTGTTAGCTTTCCTGTCTGACATTAGGAGCCTGTACATGACAAGTGGATGACTTTTGCAATGTTCTGTCTAAGACAGAGGCTAGATTTAGTTGAAATGATATAATTTTATATCTTCTTAAGCATTGTGGAAGTCAACAAATCCAACATTATTTTCACCTGAAGATATACTTTAATTTCTAGACAGCAAGCTAGAAATTACATTTTGTGAGACTCAGATAGGAAATGAGAGCTTTTCCTTCATTTGAATGGAAAGGGCTCTGGTAACAAAATCTCTATGGGTTCAGCTGTGGCTAGTCTTGGGGTTCTTTTACTGGGCAGGTGATCTTACCGCTGAATTGGCTATTACTGTATAATTGTTTTAAATGCTTATGTTCACTTATTAAGGCTATGAAGCTCACAAGTTGTCACCAGCCACAGGGAATTGCCAGGCATCATTTTTTCCTTCCATCATATCTACGGGGCCAACGGCTGGAGGGTGAGGATGCAGCCATCACTACTTAGAGCAGATGGAGGCTGTTTCCTCAAACAAAGAAACAGACAAGCAAAATCTTTAACTGTCTATTGAGCCTCATAGAGCATTTGGTTCCACTAATTCATCAGTCACCTCTTTAGCTCCAGGTTTTTTCATGCATGTAACTTTGCCCAGCTGTTTTACTGAAAATGAAAATGGGCTGCAGAGCAATAAATCTGGCTACACTTTCGGAAATGTTCGATGACAGATCCTCTCCTTTCACTGCAAAGCCATCCTTAATTCTTACAAAGCACCACTTGTACTTCAGCAATGTCTGTTCTGCTGCAGGGCCGTATCATTGTGAAATCTGTTGGAACAGTCTTGGCAACGCCTTTTCTTTCAAGCTCATAGTGGGAAATATATCACATTCTCTTTATTTCTGAGAAATGTGGCAAGCATCATGTTATTTCCTAATTTATGTAGCCACATATAAAAGGGTACTTGAAATTAAAGCTGCTTCCAGGTACAATATGTCACATCAGAGATAATTCTGCTGATAGCAGCTTTCCAAGCCCACAGAACCTTTGCTTTCCATCTAGAGTTGAATCCTTATGGTGGCTCAGCACACATAAAAATCTCACTAGAAAAAAAAATTTGGAATGGCATGTGATGCATTTAAACAAATTCATTCAAATTTCTACTTTTATGGCCCTGAAAACACAAGAAGGAAAAGTGTCATTCTTTTTTGGTTTCCCAGTGTTAGATGTCAGGCATTTCTTGAG